GGGCCTGTCCGAGGAGCCTGCCGATGCCACCGGTGCCCACGGGGCTGGGTGCGGCCGAGCGCAGGCCCAGCGTGCGGCTGTAGGTGGCCAGGAACGCGGCGCGCACCTCCTCCAGCCGTGCTGCACGGTCGTTGCTGGACCCCAGCCTGCAAGACAGATGGATAGAGAGGGATGGTCAGCAGCTCCCAACGGGGGGGCGGTGGACCCTGACCCGCCACCCCTGCAGTAGGCTCAGCCGCCCGGCTCGAGGGAAGCACCAGGCACGGCTGCTCCTGCCGCCTCCTGCTTGTGCGGACACGGCCCAGCCCCTCCCCGGCCAGAACCCCAGGTGCGTTCACCCCCAGTCAGGGCCGAGTCCAGCTCTGAGCTCCCACGGGCGGTCTGCCTGTGCAGCCAGCCCTGCCTGCTGGGGAGAAGTCTCCTGGCCTTGCTGGCTCCAGCTCCCACAGGCCCCCCCTGCAGCAGGAGGGGGCTGTCTGCCTCTGGGGGCAGGGCTGGACCTCCGCAAGCACAGGGGTCCCCCCTGGCCCCAGCCACGGGGAGCAGGGAAGGAATGACCCCTCCCCCCCCACCCCAGCCTAGGGCTGCAGGGCCACGAGGCCACTCCCTGGGGGCCGAGGGGGAAGGCCACATGAGGACAGCATGGCTCCAAGGTGCTGTTCGGCGCTGACCCCACCCTGCCACACGTCCCCGGAGATGTTTGGCAGAGGTTGCTCCAAGGGCGCACACAACCCTTCCCGGGCTGCAACCTGGCACAGCGCGGCTGAAGGGAAGTGTCAGCCACCCACTGCCAGCAGCTCCATCCGGAAGCGGCAGCGAGGAGATGGTGGGAGGCTTGAGAAGCAATGCCCAGGCAGCGCCGGGGACTCTGTTTACCCAGCCCTGGATCCTGGGCTGCTTCCCCATGAGGCTGCCCGGTCGGCTGGTCTTTGAGGGGTGGCTGCCCTCCGTGGCCAGCAGCCTGAGTGCCTGACCTTGCGCTGGCACCACTCACAAGCTGCTCCAGGCCCTCGGCTGCCTGCTGCTCCGGGCCCTGCTGGGCTTGGGCACCATGCAGGCACTAAGGGCACCCAGCAGCCCCAGGCCAGTGACAGGTGCAGAGCAGCGGAAGCTGCGAGCCCAGACTAGAGCCTGGTTTCCTAGGAACCAGCATGGGATATGGAGACCAAAAAGATGCACCTCCAGCACGACAGCAGCTAGGAAACCTCTGCCCGAGGTGAAAGTGGCATAAGGTGGGGCTTGGCCGGAGACAGGCGGCATCCGCACCACAGGCAAGCACTGCTCAGAGCTGGCCACAGCCCGCAGCAGCACAGATGGGCCACAGCGTGGGCCCAGTTGGGAGATGTCACCTGCAGGACTCCTCTCTGGCAGGCCGGCAGTCTGCCGTCAGCGGCTGGGGTGGCCCGGCATGTGGACTGCAAGCAGCAGCTGCCTGCAGCAGGGGCAGATCAGGCCAGTCTCAGTCAAGATTTCCTAGGAGCAGGGTGGCTAATAAGGTCAAGAGCAGGGCAGGGAGGAGACGTCTTCCTCTTCCTGGCAGCAGGTGTGGCCGGATGCTTCCTGGTCTCCGTGCTCCAGCAGTGACCAGCCCCTGCAGCCGCAGCATGGCCCCGACCCTTGCAGCTGTTCTCACTTGTGCCCTAAGCCCAGGCAGCGCATGCAGACGGCTCCAGTCCACCGGACTGCACACCTGGCATGCTCCATCCTCATTCCCACGCCGGGGCAGCAGTGACTCATTAGGCTTCTGGCCCATGTCCAAAGCCACTCCTGGTGGGCTTGGGTGCCGGTGCTCAACAAGGTGCAGGAGCTGACTGTGGCCCAGGGAGCAGAGGGTCACTCTTGCCGAGCAGCTTGGCTGTGCTGACAGGACTCCCGGGAGACCATTGCTGCCTACGTCTCCTGCTCTCATCTGCACACCCTTGCTGGAGGCTCCAAGGCCTGGGCTCAGCCTGTGTGAAAGGAGGGGCAGTGCTGCCGTCAGGGACAGGACAAGCTGACAGGGCAGCAGCAGACTGCAGCAGCCGGCCAGGCACCACTGCGGGCAGTCCGCCCATGATGAAGAAGGAGAACATCCCTGGAAGTCCCACGCAGGATCTCGCCCTTGAGGGACCACTTGCTTCCTAGCACTTCCAGGCCACAAATGCCGGGCACTCAGCACCGCACCCTGGCCTAGCCCTGCAAGGGCACAGCCATTGCTCTGGTCAGACAAGTCCAGGCAGAGCGGGAGCACGGAACCCCCAGTCCTCCAAGGTCTGGGCCACGGCTAGGAGATGGAGGCGAGGGGCTGGGGAAAGGCCGACCAGCCCAGCTCGCTTGCCAGCCAAGGTTCCAACCAGACGGCAGCCACAGGAGAGGCCACAGTAGCTCTCAGAGTTCAGGCGCGCACCTTCCTTAGTGCCCTGTGGGCCGCTCCCTGGCAGAAGCCTCTTCCTATGTGCGCTAGGGCAGGGAGGGACCTGGGGGTAGGGCGGTAACACAGCTCTTTCCTGCCCTGCGGGCCACTCTCAGACCCAGCCGCACAAGGGCCTTGGGTGTTGTTGGTGCACTTACAGGCAGCTGCTAGGGAGCTCGTCCAGGAGGCTGCGAGGGAGGGAGGCGTCTACGCTCAGGACCGCCTGCTCCTGAATGCTGCCACACCCCGACACCAGCTGCCAGCTGCCAAAGTCTGTAGAAACGGAGGAGCCGGGCAGGGAACAGTCCACTGATCTGGGGCAGAGAGAGGGGAGATGGGGCAGTCAGTCAAGCCAGTAACCACAAGCCTCTAGCTCCACAGCTGGCCAGCGAGGCATGCCCACAAGCACGGACAATGGCATCCAGCCTGCAGTGATGAGCCGTGCCAGCACGGAGCACAAGTCAGACCCTTCCTCCAACAGCAAGAGGAGAAGCCAAGCTGGCTGTGGCCTGTAAAGAAGCAAGTCCTTTTGTGAGCCAAATGGGCAAAGCTAGCAAGAAGCAGAGGCCATGCAGGACTCTGTGAAGCCACGAGCAAGATCTTGCCTGAATACCAGGCACGGGTTGGCCCTGCAAAGGGCATGCGCCCACTGCTCTCACATCCTCCTGTGGTTGCAGGGCCCCAAGGAGAGGCACCAGCGTGGCGGCTCTGGTGCCTCAGAGCACAGGTGGTGGCTTGGGAGACATCTCAACATCCCCGCGTTGGCCGCCACTGGGAAGCAAGTTAGCCTTGAGGCACCACAGCTGGACGGGTTGGAGCAGCTACACCCATGCCCTGTCCGGCGATGCTGCGCATCCATGCATTGGCAGATGGGTGGTGTGGCAGAAGCCAGCTGGAAGATGGCCATCAGGACAGGAACAGCAGCTGAGGGAAGGGACGTAGCTTCGTGCATGCAGCCTCCCACCAGGAAAGGCAGACGCAAGTGAAAGCCTTGAAGAGCCAAGGCAGTGCTGACCGAGAGTCCTCATGTCCCTGGCCTCTGGGGAGCGAACGAAACCTTCAGGGCCTGCAGAGCAGTGCGCATCTGGTGGTACCACCCACACCTGGGCAGCGCAGAGGCAAAGCAAACCTACGGCAGCAGGTCCCTGGGCCTTTCCCTTTCCATTGTGCCCACGACCGCTGGCATCTCCAGGGCTGCAGCCAACAGCTGCCCATGCTGGGCTCCGAAGGGTCACGTGGTGGGGATGCTCCATCTGTCTGCAGGAGGCCAGAGACTGACACCTCCAGTTCCCCTAAGTGTTAGCAGCACGAGCCAAGGTCCCTTCCATGCCAAGTTTGAGGCAGCTACAGCTGGGGACCACGGACCCCTTCAGCCATGGGAGGACCCCTGACGTCCAAACGGTGCGAGGGAAGAGGCAGGAGACGCAAGCCAAGGAGGCGAGACCGATTGCACTTGAACAGCCCCCAGGCAGCCACAACCCAGCTCCCACCCAGCCTACCTGGCTCCTAGCTCTCCTCCTCCTCCCTGCCAGGTTCAGGGGCCTCCACAGGCTTGGCTGAAGGCTTGTTGGCTGCTGCTAAATCACAGCAGCAGAGCTCAGGGAAGACAGGAAAGCTCTGGGCAGCACAGGCCCTGCAACAGCCATGTCTCCAGAGGACTGAGACACAAAGAGCCTCTGCCCCCGAGGACTTACAGTTCAGGGGACCAGCGGCAGTGGCTCAGAGCTCCCAAGGCCCTGGGAAGTGCCTTCACTTGCAGGTGCCAGGTTTGAGGCATCAAGTGCTGCTGATTTTGCTGAGAGTCACCTAGAGCAGCCCCTCCCCAAAGAGCTGCCTTTCCCCGAGTTGCAGCCCCCCCCAATTCTGCAGCAAGAGTGTCAGCTTCCTGGACCTCCAGTGGGGCCAATATTTTTCATGTAAACACGTCACCATTTGCAAGCTGCGAGCCCAAGGGGTGTCCAGCAGCCTGGGCCTGCTGTTCCCCTCGTCTCCCCAAGGACCCAGGTGCCCATAACCACATCAGAACTGCAGTCGCCCCTGGGACACGAATACCACAGATCTAGGACAGCAGGCGCCCAGGCATGATGGGGAGGGCCATGCAGATCCGCTCTCAGTTGTGGGCAGAGGAGACCAAGGTCTATGGCAGGGATAGGGACAGGAGGGGGGCTGTTGCCGGGCCACGAGCAGGAAGCAGGGCAGAGGTAAGAGGCTAGTGTAAGACTGGCGAGCAAAGAGCAGCCCGGCACCAAGCCTGCACGCAGGCATGGGCCACAGCACCTGTGGGCTCCCCAGGCAGGCTGGGGCCTGGCAGCTCCTGCCCAACACGGCTCCTGCCTGTTAAGTAGGTTGCTCCTGCCCAAGCGCTGCCTCCCCCGCAGGATGCCCTGCAGCATGCTGAATGCATGGACACATGCCCACAAGCAGGGATCCAAGGCAGCAGGTGTCAGCACAGCCACAGATCCTTTCCCACCTTCCCACGGCAGCTGGACACCCGCCAGCCACGCCTTGCTGCCCTGCCTGCCGCCCGCCCTCCACCAACGCTCATGCACGGAGCCCCCCTGCCTGGTTAACAGGAGCTGGAATGGAGCTTGGACATCGATGTCCCCGTCATCAGAGCAGGCAGACACTGGACACCTGGTGCACCCAGGGGGGGGGTGCTCCCAGCACCCACCTGGGAACAGCTGGGAATCAGCACTTGGCTCTGGCTACCCTCAGCCATGCCAGGCTCTGTGGGCACCGGCTAGGCCACGGTGCAGCACTAGCACTGGCCCAGGTGCCAGAGGGAGGCTTGGCAGAGCTGCAGCCCCAACCCTAAGCCCACAGAACATTCCTAGCCTCAAGTAATCCACCCCCAGCTGCGGTCAGGTGTTCCAGCCCCACTGCTGCCCAGCGTGGTGCCCAGCTGCTGACACTGCTTCCCCCCCTCCCCGTGTTCCAAGCCAAATCAAGTCCAAATCCATGAGTCAGTCCAGAACCATAAATGACCCTACAACCGGCAAACATGCTCCGCCCCCACCAGGGGCTTCAGATATTTCCAAAGTCTTTTGGCAGGCATCCTACATGTAGGCCCAAGGCCAGAGGCTTGGGGTTCAGATGCCCCCAAATTTCGCCTGCCCTCAGACATACGGCCACAGAAGCAAGCTAGCTGACACTGCTTGAGTGGGAGTCCAAAAGCCTGGAGCTACCAGGCCCCAGAGCAGCAGCAAGAGAAGGCTCAGACACCAGCTGGACTGGGCCTGGCTCTGTATTCGCAGCGACGTTGCAGAACAGGCAACCAGTACAATAGTCCCTTGTAATTCCCGCCACCGCCGTCAACAGATCTCTGGCAGTCCTGCCGCACTCGGGTCTGTTTAACAGGACTTAGCAAAGCCCATTCAGGCACGGCTGATCCCGTTTGCTAATCCACATTAGTGTCAGCAGCGTGCACTAATGCCCTGATGCAGGCACGGATCTCATTAGCACACACCGCAGACTGGGGCTCCGTCTTGTCCATCAGCCCTGGCCCCAGAGCAAGGAGTCGGGGCCAGCACCACTGCTGCCCACACACGGGTGTCCACGTGCACGGACTGCCCTGCTCAGCTGCCACCACTACTCTGCAGAGGTGTGCCCAGCAGTCTGGCAAAGCAGCATGTGGTGGAGGTGGGACAGAGCAGGAGCAGCTCAGAGGCCCAGCACACTGGCCTGCTTTCAAGCTGCCTTGCCCAGGGGCCCAGCTGGCTCACTGAAGACAGCAACCGCAAAGCTTCTTGTGTCTGGCTGGGCGTGGGAACGTGCTGACCAGGTGATGCTGGTGGTTCTCTCCCACGGACATCCCGATGAAACACCAGCAGGAGCTTCTCCTGGGGCTGTGCAGCCAGCTTCCCCCTGCCCAGCACCCTCCCCCCGTGGGCTCTCCATGCTGCCTGGCTATATTTAGCTGCCTCGAGTGGCTGCTGGCCTGGCAGGCAGGACCATCCTCCCTGCTCTGCGGCAGTGGCTAAGTGCTCTGTTGCCATGGCCACACAACCAGGATCAGAAGTCAAGTGCAGTCGTTTTCTCAGCTTAAAACCTCCCCAGATGCTGCCCTGAAGCTACCACCATGGAGATGCACATGTTCTGGCAGCAGCACCCGCCACGTGCTCTGCTCCTCCACGTGGCTGTTTGGCGGGTCCCAGTGACAGCTCCACCCACATGCCAGCATCCTCCCGTCCTCTCTGGTCTGCCCCATGTCCCTCCAGCTCAGTGCTGAAGTCCAACGTGTCCCCTCCTCTTCCCTCCAGAATGGAGCGCTCCAGCTGGAGATACTTGCTGCCAGTTCACATGTGGGTCCCATAAGATGCTGACCTGCACGAGGCGCAGTGCTTCCAAGCCATGTGGGGCACTTTGTGGCTTCCAGATGGGGAGGAACAAGAGTCACCATTGCAGCTGCTGACACCTCCTGGGAGCCCCTTATTCAGGGTGGCACTGCTGGGCCATCCTCCTCCAGGCCAGCTGCAGGCAGGGAGGGAGGGAGGGATGGAGGGAGGGGAGCAGAGACCAACTGCAGTGGCTTCAGCCAAGTCCTGGCCGCTGGGACACAAGTTCCAGGCTCCTGCTGTCACCCTCGCAACCCCCCTTCCGGCAGCCATTTCAACCTCCCCACCTTGCCTCCTCCCTGCATTCCCCATGCCAGGTCCCCCACTATTCTCCCTCCTATGCTGTGTGCCCATGACCAGGGACCAGCTCTCGCTCACCAGCCTAGGAATAGCTCCCCAGGTCTTCAAAGGGCGAAGACAAGACTACAGAAGCTGGGCCTGTTTCTCCAGCCACGAGGTGCCAGCAACAGCAGCTTCCATCTCCATGACCGCACTTCCTCTTTACTTCCCACCCCTCCTCTTCCGGCACCCCTCCAAGTTCATCTTGGAGAGAACAGGATCACACTCCAGCAGCAAGGGCTGAACACCATGCCAAGGGCTCCCTCACCCAGTGGCCTGCCCCACTGTAAACACCCCACAGGGGATAGAGACAAGGAAAACCAGGAAGGAAACCTTTTCCCTTTCTCCCCTTTATGGCATGTCTGCCCAAGCTCAGCAGTGTTCGTGGGGTGCGTTTGGATGGCAGTCACCAGCAATGAGCTGACGGGAACCTGGAGACCCTGCCTCAGCGGCTTACAGCAAGCCATCTACTGTCCCCCGCCGGGCTGGAGGCATGCGAGAAGGCCCAGCCTCCTCTGCAGGCTCAGCACTCAGGCTCCCCACAGCTCCTCTCCCCAGGCCCCGGCCTGCTGCCCTGTTTTGCCTTGCCCAAAGACAAGACCTGAGTCCCCATTGGACTGTCCAAACACAGCAGCTCCAAGCTGCACAGATGCAACTGCCTCCCTTTTGGCCAAGACGAGCTTTGCTCTTTTGTGCAGCTCACCTGGGCCTGGGCACCTCCAGTGGGCTGCTCCCGATGCGCAGGAAGTGGTCAGAGTGGTTGGATGAGGATGAGCTGGAGGACTTGGCTTCGAGCGACCCCATGACAGCTGGCCCGTCTTCAGACAGCTGCGCCCGGCTCCAGAGAGCAGCGTGTGGTGACGAGGAGCGGTTCTTTTTCCTGCCCAGAAGATACAAGCCTGGGGTGAGACAGCCGCCTCACCTGTGTGCTTCGAGCACAGCTGCTCAGATCACAACCTCCAACCCTGCCAGGCCCATCAACGCCCACCAAGATCTGCCCAGCCAGCCTGTTGCTCCGCTGGAGCTCCCAGTCCACACCCACATGAGCAAGAAGCAAGATGCCCACTGGCTCCATCCACCCACATGCACGCTCTGACACGCCGGTCCATCCAGCATCAGTCTGGCCCAAGCAAGAAGCTCCCTGCTGGGAAGGGCCACGCTGGTCCATGGCCTGCTTCGAAGAACACCAAAGCAGAAGTGCAGCCACTGAGAGCATCACCCTGGACAAGTGGTTTGGATGGGGTGGGGAGGATATGTCCCAAAGCACAAGCCCAGATGCCTCCTGGTGCCCTGTGCAGTCCCCCACACCAAGATCCTGACTGCTCTGTTACTGCCTCCATGCCCCTGGTGACGGGCAGAGCTACAGATCATGGCAGGAGCAGCAGTGTGGCTGTGGCTGCACACTGGCCACCACACCTGTGTCAGCCCAGGCACTACGTGGTCCCCTCCCCCCCAACCCGACAAGGCCAGCTCCCTTCCCCTCCCCTTGTTGCACTGCAATGGGCTTTCAGAAGGCCACACTGCCAGCAGCTGCAACTTCCTCTTGCCCAGAGGAGCTCGGGTGCCTCCCAGCACGGCCCAGATTTAATTGAAACTAACTGCAGTGTAAAACGGCCTCAGCGCTTGTGTTCAGGGAGAGGAGAGGCAAAATTAAACTGAGCGGGGCAAGCCCAGAGAAAGGCTCTGAAATCCCCAGCCCAGCTCAGCGTCAGGCTCTCCAGGCAGGCTGCCAGAGACACCACCTGAAGGGGGCTCAGGCCAGCACGGCCAGGACAACTCCATGCTGTCTTAGCAATGCCACACAGGGGGCCCTTTGCTCAGACCCTCCTCTAGAAAGCTCCAAGGAGTGGCCAGCTGAGTGCTGCCCCAGCAGGGAGCTCTGGACCTTGAGTCCAGACCTGGCCTTCCAGGTCACCCGTCCCATGAGTGGGTCCAGCCACATGGCAAAGGCTGGCAGGGCCAGGTGGGGAGGATGGCCCAGGGGCAGGAAGCTTCTAGCTCCCAGGCTGCATTGATTCCCAGCTGCTTTATCCTTGTTCTTGTTGACAGCAAAGTGCGGCTTGCTTGGGTAACCTACATTCCTGATTAATCCCCCTGCACCCAGCTGGCATCTCCAGCACCTCAGAGGAGTGGGGGAAGGGAGTCAACTGCTGCTCGTCTTCCTTCCACCACGCACATTCTTCTCAAGTCACTGGGAGCGGTGGGCCTGATGGGCAGGGAAGGGTGCGTAGCATGGGCTGCCAATGGGGCACCAGTACCCAGCTCTGCTCCAGGGAGTGTCCCCAATCCTAGTGCATCTAGGAACCAGGCCAGCAAACAGTGTGAACAGCTGCTCTGCCCTGACCATGGACTCAGGGCTACCCCAGAAGCAGGAGCCAGCCCCCAGGTAAGGATCTCCTGCCTTTTCTGTCAGGCCCCAGTGTTCTGTAATGCTGATAGTATTCATACTGCTTGCAGCTGGTCTCCCCCTGACTCCTGCCCAGAGCTGAGAGCTGCAGCAACCAGCCATCAGCTGCACTGCACAAGCAGGGCACAGTAGGGGCAAGTGGCATGCGACACCTGCCTCCCTCGGTGCTCAGCCCTGTTCTGGCCACGCGTGTGGCCTATGCGCAAGGCCAGCTTCTTACCAGGCTGCCTGGGCCTGGGCTCCTGCTGGCATCAGCTCCACGGCCTCGTAGGTGAAGCTCCCAACCACTCCGGGAGAGCTCTCCACACCCAGGGAGAAGTCACTGCTCAGGCTCGTTGTGCTGCCCCGGTCCCTCTGCTCTAAGAAAGAGAGACATGAACAACTGAGTCCCAATGAGGAGCAGAGGAACGCATGCCTCTCACCCCGCTCTGCCACCACTTCTGCTGGCCAGGGCCAGACCCAGGGCGAGTAAAGAGCAGAAGGGAATGCCACCTGAAGGGCAGCCATACCAAAGAGGGATAGCACCATTTCTCTCTTGCTGCAGAGCAAGACGTGGACCAATGGCTGGCAGTTGCAGCAAAGCAGGTTTAGACTGGATATCTGGAAACACTTCTTCACTGTCAGAGCAGTGAGGCAGCAGAATAGAGGCCTAGGGAAGCTGTGGATTCTCCATCACTGGAGGTGTCCAAGAGGAGGCTGGACAGCCACTGGGCAGGGTGATCTAGGTTTGGCAATGCTTGTGCTCTACTATGGGTATTTCCCAGGCTTCTGGGCTCTGCTGGTTGTAGCATGGGATGGAGGGAATTGCTCTCCCTGCCCCCCCCCTCCCCCC